TTTAATTATTAGTTTTTGTTTTTTTTTCAAATTTGAGATATATTTTGGCAATTGTGATTGAAAATGTACATTGAGAGAGGCTTATGGGATTTCTGCAATGTTCTATTCCATGCTTTGAGTGCTAGTGAAGTGGAAGTGAGTTTTCTCAAAGCTTATTCAGCTTTTTCTGTAAATATGTTATATTGAGTAAAATACTTAAAAGGTTTCTTGCATAAATGTAAAAATGTGAAGAACAGACAAGCACAAAGAGAACAAAATCACCAGTAAGCTCACTACTCAAAAAAAGTCGCAGACTCTAACTTATGTAGGAGAAAAATATGGGATTCATGGGCCTTATTAATTTAGGGCAAAAGAACCTTGAAACTTCTGTTTAAAAAAATAATTTTTTGTTAACTCAAGTAAAATATTATCACATACATATTTTAAGTGAAAAGTAAATTTCATGATTCCATCTTAGTATAAATCTTAATACTGTAACTTATTATTTCTAGGACATAGATCATCAATACCATTTTGAATATAAACAAGCCCTTAAAAGCAAAAAAAGATATTAAGTAATAAAGTTGAACATGAATTAAAATAATGCTATCATATATGTATGGTAGGCCAAGTTATCTATTTTTATTTTTGGGTGTGTGTTTGTGTATAGTATGTGCACAGGTGTGCATGCACATGTGTGTGGAGTTCAGAGGTTGATATCAGGTCTTTTCCTTGATTACTCTCCACCTTATCTTTATTTTATTATATTATTATTTTTATTTTTATTTTATTGAGACAGGAGTCCCTCACTAAGCCTAAAGCTCAGCAGTTTGGTTAGACTAGATGGCCAATGAGCTCCAGGGATTCACTTGTCTCCACCCTCACAAGCCTGATCACGGTCCCACTATCTCCCTCTCTTCTTCCCCAGCACTGGGTTATAGATGCTTGCCTGCGCCTGGCTTTTATGTGCACACTATGGATCTGAACTCAGTTCCTCATGTTTACATGGCAACCTTTTATTAATTGAGCCAGCTTCCCCTGCTCTGTTATCTGTAAATTTAATTATGTTTTATAATGTGTTCTGACTCAATTTAAAGCAATTGTCTAACATATCTTCTGAATGTTTGATTTCAATATTCAAATTGTGAAGTTATGGAAGTCTCTCAGATGAAAAACTATGTCATTATTGCATTGTTGTCTCGGTTCTCTGATAAGAGAGAAGTTGGCCTGCTAACAAAAAGGTCACTGAACTAGCAGTCAAGATATCTTGGTAGTAGAGAAGCCAGGAAACTAATGAATGGCCACGGAGGTGGGGAGGCTTCCTGGGAGAGGAGGTAGAATACAGTGATATAAAAGGGGGAAAGGAGAATAAAAAAGTAGGAAGGGTTAAATGGTATGAGAATGAGAGGGCAGGGTGAAGGAGGGAGGAATAAGTAACACTAAAGGCCTTTAGATAAAGCCATATGAAAGTCTACCACTATAGAAGGTTCTTAAAGTACATACATACACAGTATACAAAGAGATTAAAAGGCATTATCTAATAACAGGGGGAAATTGCCCCTAATATACACCATAGGCTAACAAAATGTAACTGCAATGACAGGAATGGACTCCCTCTCTTGAAGCAGTTTACCAGGTCCCATAGACCCTCAAACACTACTGGCCATTGTCCCTGCTTTTGGTCACCCATCGAACTTAACGGTAAGACACTTGCTGAAGACACTACATACATGAGCTGTAGAACAAAGAGAAACCAAGCTGGTGCTGACTTCAGAGTGTCACTCTACTGACTAGTTTTCGTAGTGCTGGATGATACTCTATACATGCTACCAGAAGGAGAAATCACAGCTCTGAATCCTGTGAACTAAAACAACAAATGCCCACTGTTGCAATAGTGACATGAATACTATGGGAGTAACCAGCCACTTTCTAATTGGAATTAAGGTCGGATTCCTAGTATGGAGCCCATACCTGACAGTGATATCAGGTTTAGGAACTGAAGCTAGACAGGTCACAGGGCATAGGGGAAAACCTAATACTAGTTTTCTATTAAGTAGTTATAGTAGTAAACTGATGCCTAATGACTTTTTGTTATACCCTGTAGATTAATGCATCTCTCAAATCTCACTAGAAGTTTCCTTGTGCAGTAGGGGGTGATTAACACAGAAACTCACAACTGACCATGTGCAGAACAAGAGGCTGAAGAGTTCTTATCCCTTGAATAGGATATCTATATCAAACTTCTGCTCCCCCAAGGTTCAGGGATCATTCTGGAAGAGGGGGCAGAAAAATTGTAAGAGCCAGAGGTGGTAGATGACCACAAGGAAATAGTTTCCCAGACAGCCGTTCAGTTACTTATATAGACTCACAGCAATGGTGACAGCATGCCCAAGTCCCATGCACCTCAAACCAGACAAAATCCCACCACAGATGTGGGGAAGTGGGTAAGAAACCCCAACCCAGCCTAAGGAACTTTGGGCAATCAATGGGTGATGGGAGGGGAAGAGAGCTAATCTCTTTCAAGTATGGGGCTCTTGGTAGGATAACCAGCGGTTGGATACACACTAAAAGATATTTTGGTACACAAATTAGACTCTATAAGCCTTATTACATATATATGGACTCTATAGGCCTTATTAAATACATATATGGATATATTATATTGGTAGGGTGCAGAAAGGGTATGAGTGAATAGGGGTTGGGATCTAAATACCTTCAAATTATATTGCATGAAAATTGTAAAAATTCAATTAAATAATTAAAAAAAATCTGGGTGATAGTTTTGGCTGTATCAGTCACTCAAAGCCTCACTGTGGGCTGTCTCAATTTCTTGGGCTATGATTGGGAGGACTGGGCTGGATCTCAAAGGACACAGGCAAAATAATTTATGACCCAGGGAATTTGGCCAGGCCAGGATCAACTTTTTATGACAATCAAGTGAATTCACAAAGCAGAAACATTCAATAACTGGAAGAAGAGAGCTTGCATCTTTATTTGCAACCAGAGCAGATACAATGTGTTTCCTGTCCTTTTCACAAGTAGCCATGGGAAGGAGAGCCTGGCGAGGACAGGGACAGGATGTCCTTCCCTTGCATGTCACTCACCACCGTATGTCTTTACTGTTTTTTTTCATGGTCATCAGAGCAAAACAAGATTACAAATAACTTGTTAGGGTGACAAGTTAAGCTGTAGTAAATTGCTAATTAATAATTGTAACCACTTAATTTTTCAGGTGCCTTCCTTTCTCCCATTGATTTAACATGGATTTAAAGTGACATATGATATCAGGGAGCTCAGAGAAGGAAAATATTTACAAGTCCTGTAGAAGGAAAGGACTTTTGAAGTGCGACTGATATGAAGGTTAATCACCCAAGAAACTGGGATTGTGGCAAGCACCTGAATATTCAAGAGAGCTCTTGAGCAGAGAGGGACTTTGTTCCTTCAGAGTGTAGCTTTATGGCACTGTGACTTTACAAATGTATCAAGCTCCGTTTAGTAACAAGAATTGTGACATCTATCTTTAGATCCCCCACGCCAGATACAACCAGCAATCAAAATATTTATTCAACTGAATTAGGTAAAAACTTCGCAGGAATTGTAGGAAAAATGAGGCCGAACAAACTTTTTTGGATGTGTAAAACTTTTACAGAATTTACTGAAGGATTATTACAGAGAAGGGAGCTCCAAAGCCCAGAGAATTTACAGAGTAGGTGTTAACAAATCGAAATTTGAAAGAAGCCTCCAAAGCTGCAATGCTGAGTCTTAGCATAAAAATAAAGGATCAGAGTCCCTTATAAAGGAAAACTGATGGGGGAACAAGTTTGAGCCCCTGGGACAGAGATCTGTAGCAGAGTGGGGTAGGCTGGAGAAACCCGGTCCTGCGGCCCGACCGGATGGCTAGGCTTTAAGCCTGTTTCTTAACAAAACCTCCAGGAAGCCCTAAAAGATGCGCAGCTCGAGCTGGTATTTTAGGTGATAACTTCCGCGACTGAATGTGCAACAGGGAGCGCCACCCGAGAACTTCCGCGTGAAGGGTACAGGCTGCCTCAGCCTGCCAAAGAGAAAACCCGCGCTCCCCACCCAACCGCCCAGGAGAGGTGGGCGTGGCAGGGGCGTGGCCCCAGCCCCGCCCCAGACAGCCGCAGCCCCACAGGCCGCAGCTCGGAGCACCGCCCCGGGACTACATTTCCCGGCAAGCCCCGCGGGTCGCAGCTGACCCACTTCCCGGCCCGTCACGGGCTCGCCCGGCCCGGCGCCTAAGCAGCTGCTCCCTGCTGACTGGGGTGTGGGCGGGGAGCGGCGGAGGGAGGAGGAGGCAGTGCTGGCCGCCGCCGTTTGCCTCCACTGCTGGGCGCCTGGGTAGAGCTCCCCGGGTTCGTGCGGCCGCCATGGACGAGCAAGCGGGTCCCGGCGTCTTCTTCAGCAACAACCACCCGGGTGCTGGTGCTGCTAAGGGGCTCGGGCCTCTGGCGGAGGCTGCAGCGGTTAGCGACGGGGCAGCTGCAGCGGGGGCGGCGCGAGCCCAGTACAGCCTCCCGGGGATCCTGCACTTCCTGCAGCACGAGTGGGCCCGCTTCGAGGTGGAGAGAGCCCAGTGGGAGGTGGAGCGGGCGGAGCTGCAGGTAAAGACCCTCCCGGCCTGGCCGTCTACATCCCGCCTCTTCGCTCCCTTCCGCCCCGCCCCGGACCCTGCTCCCCCTTCCCCCGTCGGCTCGCGTCCCTTCCCCCTTGCCTCGCGCCCATCCCTTCCAGAACCTTATTCCTTCCTCCTGTCACCTTTGGCTCTCTCCTGACCCCACTTCCTCGCCCGGGTTTCCCTCTCCCTCTCCTGATGCGTTGTTTACCCTCCCCGCGCCTTTTCGGAGGCTGCTTCCCACTCTTAACTCCCAGGCTCCTTTCAACTCTTGCTATGCCACATCCTAGATGGTTCCTTTTACTTTGCTGCTTGGATTGACAGCTGAGAGACATTGAGCAGCATGTCGTCTTTTCTTAGCGCGTCCCATTCTAGGTCTAGAGATGTTCCCTGCTAAAGGGTTGGGCAGTTGGCTCCCCTGTCTTTGCAAGGAAGGTGAGCAGAGAAGTCAACACAAGTTGTGGGAGGCCCTGGCTGTCTGCGAGAAGCTGACATTGGGCCAAAGTGTTACTAGCAGTATGAGATCCGGGTTTATGTATGTAAACATTTCTTCTCCACCCTTTTCCTTCCCGTTCACCCCCTTCCCGCACTTCGTTTAGATTTATAGGTTTTGAATGGTCAGACATGGTCCCTTTTCACAGAATCCCAAATTTCCCGAGAGTTCATTTTTATGACCAGTGTTTTGTGAGATTGACACGTACTTTACTAGTGGGCCTTCAGTGTTCCATTGCCTTGCATAATCTGCAAGATAAAGCATATCCAGAGTGGAGCCCCTGTGGGCCTGAAAGAATGAAAGGGTGATACTTTCCGGGCCATTCTGGGTTGGTAAGTAGATTTTCAGTCGCTGTTGGTTAAAACTTTTAAAACACCAATTTCAGGAGGAACTTAAAGAGCTGAGTGGTTGTGCCTTTCTGTTTTATGGGCTAATCCTATATGCTTATGAAATTTGAGCACAGTTTTAGCTTGTTTGTAAGCACTTGAAGAGTCACTTTTTTGGTCAGTTACTTTTTGGCACAAAAACCAAAAGAGAAATCTGCTGAAGAGCTCCTATGCTCAAACAGAAACAGACTACTTTGGTGAGGTTCAAGTGTGTGGAAAGTGCAGATAGGCAAGGGTACAGTAGATAGATCTATAATAAAGGCTGTGCTTGCTGCTAGCTCTGTGACCTTGAGGAAATCCTGTGACCTCTGTGGGCTTCAGTTTCATCATTTACTTTTTTAACACATGATCATTGAGTGCCACCCTTGTGCTTCTACAAAATCAACAGAACTGCTGCCCTCATGGAGCTTATGTTCTAGTCAGATGACAGTCAATAAATAACAACATGCCACGTGGCCTGCAGTTGCTACATTGTGTACAGTGGAGTGATAGGAACAGCATTAGATAGCATAGACAGGGAAGGCCTCTGGGAAATGGGTGTGGGCAGTTGGATGAAGAAAGGGAGTGGCCTGTATGATTTTTTTTGTTTCTACAATTACATGTCTATTCTTTGGTGACTTTTTATACCTACTTTTCATACCTTACATTAACATCTTGTCTATTTGATTCTTGTAATTTTTCTCATAATGACTGATCCTGTACCCAGATGACCAATATAAGACCTCCAAAAGTCGGGTACTTGCACATTTACCATTAGCAGTGCATTGTGTAACCGAGCTTGTGGATCTCAGGTTCAAGGAAGTGTTGAAGGCAGGGTCTAACTTTAATGTTGTTGGAAATGGTTTTTATATGTAGCTGCTTAAATTTTAGTTTATTTTCCAGTTTAGGGGCTGTAAAACAAATGACACTAATTTGGTTAAAAACAAGCAATAAAACAGTGCTTATCTTCCTGTCTGTAAGAGCTCTGAAGGTTTCAGACCATCCTGCGGGCGTGGTGGTGCATCCCTTTAATCCCAGCACTCGGGAGGCAGAGGCAGGCAGTTCTATGTGCGTTCCAGGTCAGCCTGGTCTACATAGGGAGTTCCAGGCCAGCTGGAGCTACATAATGAGTTCTAGGCCAGCTGAAGCTACAGGGAGACCCTGTCTCTAAAAGACCAAAAAAATAAAAAAATAAAAAGTTGCATGATTTGTGTTGAGATAAGTGTCCATCAGTCTGTGTTCTTTTAATTTTCAAATCTCTGCTGAAGTCATTAACACCAAAGCCAACAAAAGTGCATTTAAGATGCAGTCTCAGTTGTCCCTTCAGGAACCTGTCAGGCCTGCTCTTCTCTTTCAAGTTACCAGAGCTGAGATATGAAAGGCACTCCAAGGTCTCATCCATCTTGGACTGTCTTTATCACTTCCTGTCTCCTTCAGGTATTGAGAAGTGAAGGAGGAGACACATTGTATCAACATTTTCTTGTTTCTTCCTTGCATCTTACTTAATACACCTGCCACCCCCAGTGAGAATTTGTGATCATGAGGGAATAAAAATATGATCAAGATATTACTGAGTTTTGCATTTGTAAAAAGAATTAGAGAAAGAATTCTAAAAATATTTGAGAATATTTTTTATGTGTGAAACGTCCTGGAGATCCCAAAGAAGCATGTATCCTAATTAATACGGTACACATAAACAGTATGTAGAAGAATCAGACTGTCATTTGGAAGGGAGATTAACTTTCTTAACAGCATGAGAAAAGAGTTAACTGCGCATGTAGAGAAAAACAAGAGAAAAAAACTTTATGAAGTACTGAGAATCTAAGGTTCAGTAGTTGACAGTGATTTCACTTACGGGAAAGCAAGCATATAAATAAAAAGATAAATTAGCCGGGCATAGTGGCACATGCCTTTAATCCCAGCACTCGGGAGGCAGAAGCAGGCAGCTCTCTGTGAGTTCAAGGCCAGCCTGTTCTACATAGTGAGTTCCAGAACAGCCGGGGCTACAGGGAGACCCTGTCTCAAAAAGACCAAAAAAAAAAAAAAAAAGATAAATTAGGGACTGTAGAGATAGCTCAGTGGTTAAGAGCACTTGCTGCTCTTGTGAAGGACCTTGGTTCAGTGCTGGAACCCACAGGAATGCTCAGAACCACCTGTAACTCCAGTTCCAGGGGATCTGACAACCTCATCTGGTCTCCACGGGCACTGTATGCATATGGTGTAACATACCCATGCGGCAAAACATTCATATACATAAAATACAAATAAATAATATGTTTTAAAGGAATTTTTTTAAAAACAAAAATTAATAGCCCTAGGTTTTGATGATATATGTGTGTGGATGGAAGAGGCTCTCAGATCTATGGGTAAGTGCTAGAATTGTGCAGGCTGAGTACTAGAGGGCAGGTGGTTTAGAGGCTTTGTGCTGGAGTATTTGTGAATTTGGGTTTGGGCATTAATGATTTATATTATCACTTAGCAAATATTTTCCAAGTATATTCTTCATGCCAGATCCTGTTCTAGGCATGGCGAAGATACAAGATTGTATGTCATGAAATTTAAATCATGGGGTCAGATAAATAGTGATAAAAACTGAAATGCTGGAAAGTATTATTATATGCTCTGATATGATAAAGGGGGTGGGAAGTAAGCCTTCACTGGTAGGGTATCATATGTGCTAGAATCTGAAAAGGTGATTCAAGGTCCTGAAAGAATCAAAGCAACCAGGAGAAGGGAGACTGCTTAGACTGTCCAAGGAACAACAAGAAGGCAAATGTGGTATGTAGAGGAAGAGAGTGGAAGAAATTATGCCAGATTTATATATATATATAGAGAGAGAGAGAGAGAGAGAGAGAGAGAGAGACACACACACACACACACACACACTGAGACTGGATCCTGCCCGTTGTAAAGACTTCAAATTTGGGCTGGGTCTAGTGGCACAGGTCTGTAAATCTCAGCTACTTGAGAGGCTGAGGGGGAAAGTTCACAAATTCAAGGCCAGACTGGACTACAGAGTGAGCTCAAGGCTAACCTGGGCAACTTAGTGAGGCCAGCCCCTAATAAAAAGCAAAAAGAGAATTTAGATATAGCCCAGTGGTATAGTGCTTGCCCAGAATATACAAGGCCCTAGGTTCAGTCCCTGTTTCCAACATATAAACAACTGGGTTTTACCTTGGCAAGGTTGGGCATCCATTGGAATGTTTTGAACAGAGAGCATCTTTCAAAAGAAGGCTTTGCAAGAACTCAGAGTGGGCTTGGGAAGGTGGGTAAAGGTTGCAGGGGATCTGAGTTGAGAGGGTGGTAGTGGTGAGATTTTTGCATGTATATTTTGATGCATTATCAAATTATAGTAACTTAATGAACACAGAAGACAGAACTAGCAGGATGTGTTAAGGGATAAAACATGAGGTTTGAGAAAGGGGGAATGGAAATGATTCAAATGAATTTTTACTGAGTAATTTCATAAGACAGCTGAGAAGATTTACTGAGCATTTAAATGAAAAAATGTACGTTCTTTAAAATGACCATTTTTTGTTACAATTATTTCCCATTTCATGAAAGGCAACATGACATAGACCTGTGTTTAAATTCTTACTCTAAAACTTACTATTGTATTCTTTGCCTATAAGACCTTATGTGCCTCATGTGTAAGGTAAGGATAATAAATTACCATGTGAGAATTGAGATTATTTTAATGTACCTAGTAGAGACATTCAAGTAAGTAAGTGCTAAATAATGGTAGCAAATACATGATGTTACTCTCACTCTTCATACTCTTCAGTCATAAACTTGTCTCAAGCTAGAGCATGTTGGTGCCTTCCTGAGACTATGCGGTCTGTTATTCTGGGTCTGGTGCTGGTACTAAAGTCATGTAATAGGAATGAATGGTAGTCCTCAGTGTCTGCTCAAAACATTGATTATAAATGTTCCTTAAAGCTGGGCATCGTGGCATACACCTTTAATCTCAGCACTAGAGAAGCAGAGCAGGCAGATCTCTGCGAGTTCGGGGCCAGCCTCATCTACACAGTGAGACTGACTCAAAAAAAAAAAAGTAACAAAAAAGAAAACCAAACTATTGATTATATACTTTGAATATACTTGCTTTTCTTAATAACCCACCAAGTGGCT